AGAGAGAGAGAGAGGAGAGAAAGAGGGAGAGAGAGGAGAATGAGAGAGAGAAAGATGCACGAGAGAGAGAGAGAGGGGGAACGAGGAAAAGGGCTGGAGGGCCCGCTACGGGCTGGGAGAGAGAAAGGAGAGCCCGCTATAGGCCGGGGAGAAAGAGAGGGCAAGAGACGTGAACTGAAAGGGAGGTACAAAGCGAGGAAAGCAGAGGGATAGAGAGAAAGAGAGAAAAAGGAAGAGTAAGGATGAGGGTGAGGGAGTGAAATGAAGACAGGAGAGAGAGAGAGGGAGAGAGAGAGAGAGAGAGAGAGAGAGAGAGAGAGAGAGAGAGAGAGAGAGAGAGAGAGAGAGAGAGAGAGAGAGAGAGAGAGAGAGAGAGAGAGAGAGAGAGAGAGAGAGAGAGAGAGAGAGAGAGAGAGAGAGAGAGAGGGGGGGGGGGGGTACTGAGGTAGGGAGAACGGTCAGAAGAGAAAGGTCGAGCCGTGGACCGAGGAAACGAAGAGGTGGGTGGGAAAGCTACAGCATGCTTCGAGATGGTGCAAAGATCGTAAGAAAATCAACAGATGGATACAGATCCATACGTGGCATGAAACGCAGAAAGATCAGGAAAAGAATTACAAGACAAGCTACGGCAGAACCAAATGCACCAAGATAACCGAAGCAGAATCAGAGGCGGAGAAGGAAGGAAGAGTTGGCTGAACACGAGCCAGACCGTAAGATGTCAAGAGCAAAGATACGGTAGGTGCGATGCGTGAGTGAGAAAGGTGAATGAGTTTGATCATGCATGATGTTTGGGGAAAGGAAATGGATTGATAAGGATTGATCAGGAGGGGCAAAAAGAGATAGAGAGAGGGGGAGTGAGAGTGAGAGGAAAGGGTGAAAAGGGCCAAAGAGAGGCGGAGAGAGTAGAGGGGGAGAAGAAGAAAGAGGGAGGGGAAGGGAGAATGGAAATTGAGACCAAATTTGAATTGAGTTGTGAGGTAAGCAAAGAGGAGCGGAGAGGTAACAAAAATCTGAAAGTCTTCAGACGAGACAGGAATCGTCTACGGCGACATCACGGTCAGAGGAGCGTGGAGGTGGATAGGAAAGGATGGATTCGAAACAAACCCAATGGAGACGGAAGAGCTAAGATTCATTTATAACTAGGTCCTTAAGAACGGCGAGGGCGGCGAGATTCTTGTTCGAGGCGAGGATGTTGAGCGTCGAAGCAATTGGAAGGGGCCAGGGGGAGAACCACTAACGGGACAAGGAACGGTAATGACGTCAGAGATTTGACCCCTTTTGACGGAGAGCACATAGCGAGTCATTTCTGTTTTTCAGGTCACTGTAGCATGTTTTCCGTATCGGATGTGGGAGGTACTAAGAATTTGAATGGATAATCTTTAGCTCAGTTCGTTTAGTGTGTAGACCCTTAGTATCCTCAGCTAGCTTATGGTGCACGGAAATCAGCTGGCACAAAGACATGCCATTGTGCAAGCAAATTAATGAGACTGCAAAGACCACAAAAAGACCGCAACCTTGATCACGGCGTACCACGGCGAGCGTTGACTTAGATAGCGAATAACGTTTTCTTAAACTGGTCTGGCAAGTTGGGCAAATTTGTTCCGAGAAGGATGTGCAATTTGGACCAAGAGATTTTGCTGGCGCGATGAGATTAATGGTGCAGGTAAATGGCTCTTGACTTTGAACAATATTTGGACAGCAAAAACGTCAACACGCGAAGAGCGTGCGGAGTTTCTGAAGGTACCGTCATGCCCCTCATGCTAACTGAATAACAGACAAGAATGCACCAGGGTGTCCGGAATAGCATGAGCCAGTTAGAGAAGATATTTTTGCCTGGGGCTGAGCGAGCATGAACTCAAAATAGACGCTAAAATATACGCAAATTCCGTTCCTTTGAAATGACTCATGCAACGCATAATAACGCATCAGGCATAAAGCATTTAGCTCAAGCAATCCCCCATCACCCATATAGCGAAATTATTCCCATCCTCCCTTCCTGTTGGGCACAAATCCTGCTATTTGGAATGTTGGAATATTACTACCGGTAATGAACGAACAGTGACACCACCATATTTACGCAGCGCGTCCTGTACCCCTGTACGCTGTACCCCATTGCTGTACCCTCCCCCCCCCCCAACGCTGTACCCCATTGCTAAAGCGTGTACAGTCTATCCGTATTTACCAACCAGGAAAGGCGGACATGGGACATACCGGTTTCCTATCAATCTTCTCCCCAAAGGTTTAAAAGTCGACCGGGTGGGTACCGGACGCGCTTCGAAAGTGATGTGAGTTATAACGCATTTTTCTTGGTTGCGGCCCGTTTCTCTCGCTTTCGCGTTGCAAAGCAGGCGTTCGAAAGTCAAACCTGCGACAGGTAAAGTGGTCGTGTCCGTGACCGATTTTACATTTTATGTGACAAGCGACGCCGTGTTTCCAACGCGGCGTCATGTTTCCAAAGGAGATGAACAATGCGGAATGAACAGCGTTAGGCCGTACCAATAAACGTCTTACAGATTATATTCACGGATCTAGAATAGCGACGGCCAACGTTGAGGACTTCTCCTTTAATTTATGAACGTTCCCCTTATCTAGGCATTGTCAGCATGTGCCACGGACCACATGGAGCTCCGAAACTTGGCGATCCGATTGACGACCTTGGCGATCGACGGTGATTCTCGCAATTTGTTCTGTTTGGTGACCCCAGGAATTTCACCATGTCTCGAGACGTGCGCATCGCGCTGACACGTGCCGGTTCGTTCCGCCACGTGTCGGTCAGCTGACCGCATGACGCTCTGACCCCTCTCCACTCCCCTCCCCTTTCCCCGCCCACGAGGCCTCGCCGCAATCAATACCGCTAATAAATCATCCGGTCGTGGCAGCTTCAGGCGTCTGCTCACAGATGGCAGCACCGACCACCGCGCGCAGCAGTTATTAGGCCGTGTTTTAGCCAGGCATTCAGCAGGCGCTCGTGGGGCGCCGGAAAGCCATTCATTTTACGTGTTGTGTTCAAAAGCGCCGCAGAAGCGTGTTGAAGTTTGTCTCGTTTGCACAAGCCAAAAGATCGCTCAGAGTATTTTGAAAGCGACAGAAAGCCATCAGTTGCGGGGCAATGGCTTTAGCAACGACGCAAACCACACCTCCAGTGGTAGCACAAAAGCAAACAGACGGCAGCAAAAGTTAGCTTAAAGGTCCTTTCGGGTTAGCAGGGTCAAGGTCATTTCAGGTCACAGGGCTGCTGTTTGGGGCGTATGGAGGCTGCTGAGGTTGCAAGGCGAGGTGGGGGGGGGGGAAGTCAAGGTCACAGCGATGGTCCAGCAAAGCGAGCCGGACCTGCCGGCGGGACAGGCGACAAGAAGAAACACGCTCCTTCCGACTGCAGAGACAGGCGGGTGGCGAACGCACACTGCTGGAGGCAAGGAGAGCAGGAAGCGGTAACCAGAGAGGCAAACTGGGGGGCAGAGCCAGAAGGCAGAGGGCGAGAGTAACGGGTAAGAGAGAGAGAGAGAGACAGAGAGAAAGAGAGAGCGCGCGCGGCGCCCGTTCGCAGCCCCAGGGCATGGTTGTCATGGCACCCTCGACCTGGTCCTGTAACAGAGCACCAGAGCGGCGGCAGCACCAACGCACCACGGCACCAGCCCAGCGGCACCACAGCGGCGGCCGGGCCGCACCAAGCCCCCCCCCACACACACACCCCTCCCCGCAGATGACGTCACGTGCCGGGGAAGCGAGAATACCTCCCCATTCTCTACCCGAGCTGGGTTTTAGTCCCAGCTGATGGGGAATTAGGCGGCAAGCCCGCGACGTTGCCTCGGTGACACGACGCTCGTGGATACGTCAGTGCAGCGACGATGTCATTCTCAAGGTCACACAAACGAAGTGGCGGCGCGTGCGGGGGCGAGTCCGTCTGACACGACAGGAAGATTCGAGCCACTCGCACAAGACGGTGTTGGAGGTGAGGTAGCTGAACGCGCTGCCGTCCTCAGACTGGCTCAGGGGACCACGCAGCCAGCCTCCGACTGGTGGGAGGGGCGAACACAGCCAACACGCCCAACAAAACACAGCATGCAGCGCTGGTGGTCGTGTG